AGAACTATTTTCTGTTCATTGTGCTTCTGCTTGCGAACTAGTCGAAGTCAAAGTAGTTTCGTTTGTAGGAACCTGAACTTACCTGTTGGACCCAAATGTATATACTCTCTGACGCAACCACCGATTAATTTGTTTAATTAATATTCGGTTTGTGCACTACGCTGTGATAAGCATCAAAGAGTGTCTTAATGCAGATTGTGTACACTTCTGTAGCTTATGAGCGATAGGGATTCCACTCGTGAGGACGACCGGATCTTGTGATCGGCTTGACGCCCGATTGCCCACGTGGCATTAGGACCCGAGGGTGATAGGTTGCTGTTCCGCCAGCAAAGGGAGAGGCAGCAGCAACTGCGAAGAGCTAGGGCAGCAGAAGCCAGCAGGGCATTCGCAAGCGAAGCCGCAGCTTCAGCAGCCATGGCAACTGCTGTGCAGCAGAGTTCCCAGGCTAGCAGTTCAGGGACTGTAGGGTCAACGGTCGCGCAGGCCCTGGGTCAGTCCACTGGCGTCATGGCAAGCCAGCCATTAGTGTTGACTTCCGATGAGATCGCCATACAGCACGTAGCATTGCAGGAGGCACAACTACAAAAGGCCTTAGGAGAGATAAAAGCGGAGAAGGAAAGAATGATTAGAAGAAGAGCCATGATGCAGCGAAGACAAGCGGACATCAGAGAGGATGGACCTGACGCACATGGATGATGATGTGAGGACGTTGCCGACAGCCCTGCTAGGTGTTGTAGAGATGCAGGACCACCACACAGCTCTCCTGGGTATGCCGTTAGCAGGAGGGTTTTTGACAGGTCCTAGGGTACAGGTTCCTGTACAGACAGTGTTCTCCCAACCTCCGTCGCAGGTTGGCGTAAGCGGGCAGCCTGCTGTCTCGCAGCCTGCACAGGCGCATGGTACACAGCCCCAGCAGCAGTCAGTGCAGCAGCCTGCACCACAGGGTCCACAACCCGGATCGATGCAGGTACCGAAACAAAGTCGGTGGGTTTCAAAGACGGCCATCGCCGCTCCTAAACCCTTTACAGGGGATAAGAGGGGCGAAGACCTCGACACATGTTTGAGGCCAGTGCCAATCCATGTCAAGTGCAAACTTACCTTGCCGCACGAGGAAGTGTTTGTGGCTGCCTCCTATCTAGAGGGGAGTGCAGCAAGATGGTTGAGTGGTTTAGTGCAGCTCCAGGGGTACGGTCATGACTTTCGCACTTGCGCGGTCACCCAAAAACTTGATGACTTTCTCAAGTTGTGAAAGACAGGTGGCATGATCCTCACGAGGCCCAAAAGGCTACTGACGTGATCCTGACACTGCACACGAGGCAGTTTAAGTCAGTAAGAGAGGCCACTGACGTTGTAGAGCATCTGATCTGTGTCCCTGGGGTTCGCTATGACCCCAGGTTTTACTCACCTCCTACCTGAGATGCTTTCCTATGCCTCTCCGGAGTCAGTTGGGAGGTGAGGCCAACATCAACATGCACAACTTTCCCTCGTTCAGCAAGAAGGCCCTAGACCTGGAAGCAAAGATAGGGCATGGTCAGACACCCATAACGGATGGTAGGAGAAAGTCACTGCCTCCCAACTGGAAAGCGAAGGGACGCATCATGTTCGTCGACAACGATGGTTCCACCATCAAATTGGACGACGACTTCCAGTCGGGAGTGGGTTCAAAGGCCGACAGTGTAGAAGCTTCAGGGAGTGGAGTAATCGTTGCCGTAGCTCAAAAAGGTAAGGCGACCGGTAGACATCAAGGAGGTTCCCGGTCAAGGAGTCAAGTTGACCCCAACGCTCCCCCATGGGAGAAAGCGGGTCTCAGTGAGGACGTGTGGAGAGATCGGTACACGCGGCAAGCTTGTATCCGTTGTGGCCAATATGGCCATAACCAATTCTAAGTGCCGAAATAAGAAGGTGACCGAAAAGATCCCGCCTACGATAAGGCAGGCGTTGCGATCTTCCGGTCCCGTTGATAGCAATGTGGCCAGCGGTTCTGGCACTGCTCCGGGAAACGCGTCGGGCTAGTAGGAATAGTAGTTGTTCTTGCTAGGGTCGAGGTGGTGGACACACCCTCACCATCTCGAGAGATGGCCCAAGCTATTGACTCCATCGTCGTCCCGCAAACACATTCAGACCCATCGAGCCTCTATTCGAGGAATGTGTTTGAGTCCTTAGAGGAGCTAGAGGAGTTGTCTACATCAGACCCACTAGCTTCTTGGACCGCATTGGCTAAGGCCTCTACGGGAGAGATGTTCATCGGCGAGGTAGTCATCGGCGGCCACAAGGCCGGGGCCTATTATGACACTTGCTCGACAAGGAACTTCATCAATCGCGCGTGCGTTGAGAGGCTGTGCTTACAGCGGCAAGTGCAACGCCTGAGTCGACCTGTGGAGTCGACCTGTGCCAACAAACAGCGCATGGTAGTTAATGATTACCTCCAGGATGTTGAGTGTTGTTTCCCGTACGTGGGAGGGGAACTGAGACATCGCGTCTCGTTCCTAGTGAGCGATGATCTCCCTACGGATATCTTGCTAGGCATGTACTACTTCCCCGTTGCTCAACCTCAGTTTGACTGGGACCGAAAAGTGGTTAAACACACTTTGCCAGGTGGGGGTACCACCAAATTACATAAGTTCAAAGCTAGTAGTCTGATTGAACCTCGTTCTACAACTATTACAAGCAAAATCCAGAGGAGGGTATGTATCTAGTCTATGTCTTTGCAGCTGGCAAGCTGGTGAAAATGCCGCCGGGGATAGAGGGAGTAGTTGCCAAGTACCTTGAGCTATTTGAAGAGCCTACAGGGATTGTTGAGAGGGAGGTCATCCACGCGATAGAGATTATCCCAGGGTCTAGCATTCCAAAGGGTAGGATGTATCGGATGACTCCAGGCGAGCTTGATGAGCTTCGCCGACAACTCAAGGAACTCGTAGAGAAGGGTTGGATCCGACCGAGTGTTTCTCCTTATGGATCTCCAGTCCTATTCGTACCGAAGAAGAGGGGAACACTGAGGATGTGCATTGACTATAGGGGCCTCAATGCCATCACTGTCAAGAACAGAGAGCCCCTACCGCGCATCGACGATTTGCTAGATAGAGTGCAAGGGTGTTGGTACTTCAGTAAGATAGGTCTGAAGTCCGGGTACCATTAGATTGCAATCCGGCCCGAGGATCAACACAAAACCGCATTTCAGACCAGGTACGGTCTGTACGAGTTTGTGGTGATGCCTTTTGGCCTTTGCAATGCTCCTACCACCTTTCAGCACGCTATGAATCAGATTTTTCATGACTACTTGGATAAGTTTGTCATCGTGTACCTCGATGACATACTTAGTTTTAGTAGGACTCTCGAGGGAGCACGTTGCGCACTTAGATAAAGTCCTCAACCTCCTTCGGCAGCACAAGTTCAAGATCAACGAGGAGAAATGCGAGTTTGGTCGCACCCGGATCTTGTACTTGGGTCATGAGATTTCCGTGGAGGGATTGAGGCCCGATGACGCGAAGGTGGCCAACATTCGTGACTGGCCGCGTCCTCAGTCTGTGACTGAGATGAGGTCCTTCTTAGGGATGGTAGGCTACTATCGCAATTTTGTGAAGAATTATAGCATAGTTGCCGCCCCTTTGACGGACCTGACTCGCCTTGACACGCCATGGGAGTGGACACACAGGTGTGAGGCTGCTTTCGGACATCTGATGCGTTGACACACCATGAGGTTTTGAAACTTCCTGATCTTGACAAACCTTTCATAGTAACTACGGATGCCAGCCAATATGGCATAGGTGTCGTACTTGCGCAGCAGGAGGGGAAGAAGTTGAGGCCGGTAGAGTACATGTCCAAAAAGATGCCCTCTCAAAAGCTGGCTAAGTCCACCTATGAGAAGGAGCTCTACGAGATCTACAAAGCGCTCACCCACTGTAGGCACTACCTCCTTGGCCGCTTCTTCTATGTCAGGACTGATCATCCGACCCTTAGATGGATGAAGACTCAACCAGTACTCTCCGACGCTTTGAAGCGTTGGATCGAAGTCATTGAGCAGTATGACTTCGAACCCCAGTACATCAAGGGGGAGTACAACAAAGTTGCTGACGCGCTGTCGCGTAGACCAGACTTTCTTAGTGCGCTGGTCACCGAATTTGGGCTTGTGGACAATGTTACTCAGTCTTTGGTGGATGCCTATCGCGAGGACCCGTTTATGACCGAGATCATACGCAGACTTGAGGCGAAGGACAAAAAGACTTCTGCCGAGTTTGAGTTGGTCAACGGCCTGCTGTCCCTTGAGAAGGCCGGGAATAAGCGTTTGTGTGTTCCTAATAGAGAGTCATATGCAGTGGAACACATGCACAAAGCACAGGCGGCGATGATCGAATCTGAGAACAAGCACCGTCGCCCATCTACGTTTCAGGTAGGGGACATGGTCTGGGTCAAGGCTTGTGAACTGGGATAGGAGCACAAAATTTCCCGTAAGCTTATGCCACAGTACTTTGGGCCATGGGAGGTTTTGGATGTAGTTGGGGACGAACCAGACGGACCCTCCTATGTCATTCGGATCCCTGGACACCTTCGCACTTACCCTGTTTTTCACGCCTCTAAGCTTGCACCGTTCGGAGAAACTGATCAGTTTCCCTCTCGTCGCTCTATGCTGCCCCCAACCATGGATGAAGAGGTCGACATCGATGACATCGTTGATCACAAGGAGATGCCAGTTCCAAGACCGACAGGCAGAGGATGTCCTCCAAAACCGAAGCTACAGTATAGAGTTCGGTTCAGACATCACACTGATCCAAAGCAGGACCGATGGTTTACTAGGGAGGAACTGATGCAGACCGCTCTTCAGGTTGTGACCCAATATGAAAAGTCTCTGCAGAAGGGAAAGCGCCAAATTATCGAAGACTGAACTTCTCAGAGGACTAGCGAAGTATGGAGGAGGAAATGCGAGGCACAAGGCCTCAATAAGCCCTACCGGGCCCCTATATGGAGCAGGCCGGCCGCCCTAAGTGAAGGCAGGCTTGACAGAGAACAAGATGCCTATTTTTGACTACTTCGCAAGCAGGGGAAAATTCAGGCAGTTGCGCAGCGCCAATTGGTTGAAGGCGCCCAGGCCCTGGCCTCCTTTATCAAATGTATCTAAGTCAGGCACTGGGCGAGGTACGCAGCATGGACCCAACTCAGACTGTGGGTAGTTGGGCACGGGTAACTGTCGGTGGCCCTGGGCCTGATTCGTCTGGACTGAGGCTCAGCCTCCCTGGGCCTACCGGAAGCTTCAGGGCCGGGGCCCGGTACCGCAGCACAGCACGCAGCAGCAGGCCACTTCGATATAGGGAAGGGCCTGCCCATGCATTGTACATTCGGGCACTGGCTGCATGCTGCGCAAGCAGCTGCTGCACTAACGCTGGCCAGGCTCACGCGCTCACGGGCGACCTGGAAGGAGCAGGTAGCCATAGCCGAGCTGCGCTGCTGTATGCTGGATGGGGCGCACAGTGGTCCTTGGGTGCAAGTGGCATCTGTGAGTTGAGGAACGAGGTTGTGAGTGATATGAGAGACATACAGTTGCTTGACGCGTGCGGCATTGGCCGAGATCTGCTCGTACTCGGGAAGTTGTTGACGTCATCAGCGGCATTGTAGTCTAGGCTAGATAGGATCTGCCATTCGTAGTCTGGGCGCCGAGTGCCAGATAGGATATCAACATTGGTTCTTCATTGATGATGATGAGACTATTCCAGCATTGTCAATTATGAGCTGTTTAGTGTGCTCTTGTTTGGTGAAACTCGTGATGCAATTCTGCTGTTGGTTCGAGGTCATGACTATCTGGTCTCATGTGTATGATGCTGTTTGATTGCTGAAGTTCGATGTTGCTCATCTTCCTTCCACGATGCACCCTCATCATGAATGTATACAACTGAGATTTCCGGTTCAATACCGTTCAACTCAGTCATGATGGGGGTGTTTTTTTTTTTTTTTTTTTTTAAGAACCCCCAGACAGGGATCCGAGCCCATGCCTAGTGAAGGGTTTCCGATTTGATGACTCCGATCTTATTCGTGGGGACCAGCACATGCTAAGAACTGGGCCCACTCTCCCTTTTTTTTTGTTTCTATGAAGCCCTCCTCCATCTCCCATCTCGTGAACTGAATTGATTCCCCTCTTCAGCAGAGGGAATTAACAGTCCAGTTCCCCAACGACTCCCCTGTCCCCTTAAACAGACAACCTAAGTCAGGGGAAGACGGTACAAAAGGAAGGCCAAGAACCAATCAAACAATGCATGTGGACACTTATCTAAGCAGATGATGAGCTACGCACCTGTAGAATCGATGATAACACTCCCTTGGAAATCACGGGATCGTCATTTGGTTTGAACATCTGCAAATCAAGGGTTGCATCACCAAACTGATTTTAAGAAGAAGCAAGTGGGGTATGCTCATGGTGGCGATGAGGGTGGGGTCGTGAGTGGGTCGGGCGAGCCAAGCCCAGGGGGAGTAATGAGGAGAAAGGAGGGGAGAACGTAGAAATGGTTCAAAGACAAACCCACATCACAGAGCGAAATACAGTGTCAGTATGTTGCCAACCTTCCTTTCCTCCTTAGGAATTAAACGTGAAGTTTGACTTCAAATTTATGAGCGAAGTCTGGTTCAAGCTTTTCAAACTACTGTTTGAATCAGAAATAATGTACAGTTAGAAGTCAAGAAACTTTGAATTAGACCTTATGTACGGTTAGAAGTCAACTGTGGTTCAATTTTCAACTCTTCAAATTCCTCCCTCCCTCCCTCCCTCCCTCTCTGTGCTCAAATCTTTTGCCAGGGGCCAGGGAACTCAATGCACAACTACCTGAATGTAATTGGCCGTATTACTGTCTGATGCATATCAAAATGTTTCCACTGTGTGCATGCACTTGCAATACGTGGTGACAGTATGTTCTCTTACAAAAGAAAAACAGCAGTATGCTCTCTCTCTCTCTCTCTCTCTCTCTCTCTCTCTCTCTCTCTCTCACACACACACACACACACACACACACACACACACACACACACACACATCCGTGTACAGTGGGCAAAGAAGAATCGGACTCTCTGTCTCTCTCACAGACACTCTCTCTCTCCTTCTCTCTCTCTCACTCTCCAACTCAAATGTTCATTTGTAGTCATTGTAGTGGGAAAAAGAACAGTTCGGAAGCGGTGGGCCAGACCATGAAAAGAAACCGAAAGAAAAACTCTTCCCTCTTTTTCTCTCTCTCTCATCCCCAGCGCAAGCATCACATATAAGTCCAGAAAATGCAAGCAGGCAGGTGGTGGCACCTATCTCTCGCGGTCTCTCAATTCTCATCTTTCCTTTTTTCTCAATCTCATCTCAATACTATTAAAAGTTGCGAAGGGCCCGACGTGACGCTAGCGCCGGGCCCAGCAAAAATTGATGGCCCACGGCGCGGCAGTGGGACACGTGGCACGGCAGCGGGACGCGCGGCTCAGAAGTGGGACGTGCGGTGCAGAAGTGGGACGCGCGGCGCAGAAGTGGGACGTGGCCAGTCAGGGGCGGGGCAATTGTGGCGCTGGGTGTGCCGAGGCCGGCGGGCCAGTGCAAAACGGGCGAGGCGGGCGGGCCAGTGCGAAATGGGCGAGGCGGGCGGGCCAGTGTGAAAGGGCAGGGGAGTGGGAGTGTGTGTGTGTGTGTGTGTGTGTGTGTGTGTGTGTGTGTGTGTGTGTGTGTGTGAGGGAGAGACAGAGAGTGAGAGAGAGTATATTTCGATGTTCTAGTGGAAGATTCATTCGATTTTGCTCATCCTATCGATGGAAGCAGCGTGAGGCCAGTCGCGGGGTTGGAGACTTACGTATTGGCCGGTGCGCTGCTCATCCTATCGATGGAAAGTAGCGTGAGGCCAGCCAGGGGGTTGGATACTTACCTGTTGGCCGGTGCGTTGCTCAACTAATCGATGGAAAACTCTCTCTCTCTCTCTCTCTCTCTCTCTCTCTCTCTCACACACACACACACACACACACACACACACACACCAATCTCCCCGTTTTTAACGGTTTTATTGAATCAGCTAGGAAACGTTTTCCCGGGGTGTCCTTTTTCGTTCCTTTTTCTTCTTTTCTTTTCTCTTTTTCATTTTTCATTTTTCATTCTTCTTCTTTCTTCTTTTTTTCTTTTTTCTGTTTTCTTTTTCTTTTTCTTTTTACCTTTTTCCTGTGTTCCTTTTTTCCTTTCTTCCATTTTTTCTTCCTTCCTTTCTTCGTTTTTTTCCTTCTTAATACAAGACAATGTCACAATAACAAAAAATAGCGTGGCGTTGTTTTGCCTGCTCGTGTCATAGGCCTTGAACCCCCCCCCCCCCCCCCCCGGGCAGTATAAGCAGCCGGGAACGAACTATGGGAGCAGCTCACTCTCAGACTACGACAAAAGGAAGGGGGGCGGATAAGTGCGCGATTGGTTAATGTCTCGGGCCCGGAACGGACCTTTGTTCCATTGGGTCTGGTTTCTTTTTCCGTTTTTTCCCTTCCTCGTTTTTTTAATTTTTTTTTTTTCCTTTTTTTCCTTTGTTCTTTTTTTGAGCGTGGGATTACTGCATCAAACGAGTGAATAGGAGCGGTGGCTTCCATCGGAAGGATGCTATTCCTAGTAAGGCACCACGACTATATCAGAACAGAACGCAGGGGTTACTATTCATCGGACCACCGTGCGGTAATTGGTTATGACAACAAGAAGAGCACGGTGCGTTCCGGTTTTGTGCTGAGGAGATTGGGTGTGACGACGGGCAGCATGGACTTCTTCGCCGACTGGGACCTGGAGGAGGAACAGCAGGAGGTGGAGGAAGTGGTAACGTTCCCAGCAAGTGGCACCCTCCCGGTTTTGTCTTCGCGACCCTCCACCTAGTCACTCCCTGGCCAAGCGTCATGCAGACCGCCGCCACCTGCCCCACCGAACCTGTTGTGCCTTGCCTGTGCCCCTTCACGCCTGCGCTAAACGCCGCTTTCACTTCTCCTCCTCGCTCTGCTTCCGAACCTCGCCATAGCCAGCGTGCTCTTTGCCGCATGCTTGTCTGAGGAAGTCTTTCTTCGCTTGTCCTCTAAGCTCTTTGCACTCCTGATTGGGAGTACCATCTGCTTCATAACTCTCTTCCTCGCAAGCTGCTGCTGCCTTTTCTTTGAGCCCGGCACTGCTCGTAGGCTTGCTGATTAACAAAGGGGCAAGAAGCGAGAAGCAAGGGCGATAGAGCACAGAGCGACGGAGGAGACCTCTTCATGCGCCTTTTTGGCTTTCCTTTCCTTCCTCTCCTTTCTCTCCTTCCTCTACTTCATCTACTCCCTCCCCTATCCCTCTCCGCATGAGCTCTCTTCCCCCCTCTCCCCCTCTCCAACCTTCCCCCCCCATCAGCGGAACCATCCATCATCCCTATTTAGCAACACCCCCCCTCGTACCCCTTCATTCGGCCCCCCGCCTTCCAAAGACCATGGAAGATCCCCCTCCCTCTGACGATGCCCCATGTGGCATCGGGTAGAAAAGAGCTTCACGGAACTGCCACGCCCTTCCCGCAATTCGGCGAGATGATCCGCGTGGATACAGGAGCGCACTGGATCTGGAGGATAGAGCTGAACTGGGATCAACATCTCTCCTCCCCCTTCCCCCTTCCCCTTTTCCTCCCCCTTCCCTCCTATCCTCTCTATTCTCCCTTCTCGCCCTTGGTGGAACCACACGAACGATTGACGGCGAAAGAGTGAGGTTCGCAATGTAATCGATTGTTTTCCCTTATCAAGGGGCATTCATTTTTTTCATTGGGGATAACGGAGTAGTACTCATGGTGATAATGGAGTAATATTCGTTTTTTTTTCTCTCTCTTTCCTTCTTTCTTTCTGTCGGTCTCTCTGTCTATCTTTCTTTCTTTCTTTCTGACTTTTTTCCACACTTTCTTTCTCCCCCTTTCCCCTCCGTCTTTTTGCCTCGTCATCTTCTTTTCCTTCTTTTTCTTCTTCTCTCTCATCCCCCCCACACACCGCCCCCCTCCCCTGTCTCCCGAATGACGTCCTTCCTTTCTATCCATGACAATAGTTGGGTTGTCGGTTACAGTCCGCGGATGCATGTATGAGGTGTTTTTTCTGATGACTTATTGGGATCTATTGTGCAAATTGTATACGGATGCATATTTGATTGGACCAATACGGGGAGTTGGCATGGTTACATATGTTTGTTTGCTCCTCAGAAAAAGAAGCACCCCCACCCCCCTCAATTCGTTTCGCTGCCTTCGCGTATTTGTCTGCCTTCAACTGAACGACCTTGTTTTGCCCTCGCCACAAATGGACACACGATATGTTTTTACCCCGCTGCGTTGAAAGATCACCCTCCGCAACTTGTATCTTGCTCACGGTGTGCCAACGCGTCTGGTCGGAGCAGTGCGAGTATGACGTGTCGTACTGGTACGTAACTCGTGTGATACACACTCAGGAGGACGAGTTTCCTCGATCACTGTTGGGGGGTGGCCCCCCTGACCACACTGTAAAGCGTTTATCTGGTGTTCCTTATACCCCCACATGGAAATGGGTGATAGCGGTGGCTAGGGGTACACTGAGGTTGTTTGAGCAGTGGTAGAGTGGATGGTTGGGGAATCGTCGAAAAAAGATAAGAATGGCGAAATCTGTGGTGAAGAACAACGAGGTCTTTGGGGACAGCTGGTGGGGAGGTCTTTGGGGACTGCTGGTGGGGGCATGCTTTAACGTATTTTTGTCGTCTCCATTTATGGTTCTGCTTTTGCTTTCCCTCCTCGGCTATACCCCCGTTTTCCCTTTTTCCTGTTCCCTCCATGTTTCTGCCATTTCGTCAATCCCCCTTGCTTCCTTGCCAATCTCTTCCACCAGTCCCTCACTCTCGACTTCCAATAGACCGGCCCACCCTTTTCCGTTGAGGATTCCTCATTATCTCTTCCCCTTCTCCTTCTCCTGTCTTCCCGCAACCTTTCTTGCATCCCTTTTCCTTGTCTGCACCTTGAATATATTTCTTTCACCTTGTTTGCCCTCTCTCCTCATCCCTTTCCCTAGTTTTCTGGCCCCCTTCTTTCCCGTTTCCCTTCCCCTTTTTTTCCCCTTCCCCTAATTTCCTTGCTTCCCTTCTGCTTTCCCTTCTTTTTTTTTTTGTCATTCTTTCCATTTTTCTCTCTTCTTTCTTTGTTTCTTTTTCATATTTTTACAGAGACCTCCCAAGGAATCTCTCCCAGGTGGATGGTGGAATGAGATCACACACCGATTCCCATGGCTTGGGGAATGCACCTGGCCCGCAAAACCCACACAAGAGCTGATGACTTGTGTCATGGATGCAATCAAACTGGCATGGGATATTGGGCGCTTACCGCATTTCTTTGAGATGCTTGACTTCAGCGACCTTGCCGTTCTTGCAGGGGCTTCGGATCGGGGTAGGGATGAATTCGATGACGAGCTCAGGGTCCTGTGCGAGAAACTCGAGTTGGAAAAGCAAGAGTATGCCAGGGAGTGCAGGGAACTCGAGGGTAGGTCCGTGAGAGTCAAACAAATCTTTCCTAGTGATCTAAGGTTTCGATAATTCCCATCTGGAGGGACAGGTGCCCGAAACTTGGATGGGCGATTCTCCTGCCGTGAAAAACAACCCAAAAGCTAGATGTAATGATCTCCCAATCGAGGAAGAGGAGAAGGAAGAGATGGAGCGTGCAATCGCTGCCATTACGACCACTATTCAGGACTACCCCCTCACATCTAGCAGGAGAGGTAGAACACGTCCACGGGCTTTCAGCATGCGATCTGGAAGATGGATACCTTTAACCATATCGCGCCAGGGCACTCCAGTTCCTTGGGAATATCACTGACACGCAAGTTAAGGAATGTAGGGCATATGTGCTAAAAGGGAAGTTGCTGCTAAAAGGGAAGTTGAAATTCTCAGGGAGGGTTAGCCCGTTGGACCCTCAGGACCTTAAATTCCCACCCATGCGCACATGGGACCCAGATAAATGTGGAGAAACGAGCTCCGGGATGTGGCAGAAGGGTATAAGGCAGCAAGAGAAACCAGATCTCAAGAACTTGAGGAAGATATGGAGTGTGGGCAGGCCCTATCTCAAATGCAAATGCAAAAGGGACAAAAACAAGGACTGTGGGGATACCCCACTATGGTTTGACCATGCCCTCTGGTATCTGCTAGCGCATCCGGACATCTTATTTTCGGACATGTCCTCGATCAAGATAAGGACATCACTGCTTATCCATTACCTCATGACCACGTGGAGGGATGGGGTGCTTGCCGCCATCGGCTTTCACTTCCTTAGGGGTCTGATGATAGGATACATCAAGGAACTCGAAGGCGATGCGATGCTGAACGCAGAAAGCATACTGAAGGAAGATCGCCTCTGGAACTACCCGATCACAGCGGCGCTTGCGCGAATCATGCTCCCCACACGGATTCTCGAAAGGCCAACAAGGTTTCCGCTCAGTTCTCCATGAGCGGCGGCACGGAAGAGGGGTGGGGTATGCAGGTACCAGGCCAGACTACGCTCAATTTCCGAAGGACGTCGCCGGTGGCCGTTGCCCCGCCTCCCCCTCCTCCGCCTCCTTTCTCTTCGTCTTTTGCTCCTCCTCCTCTCCGGCAGCAGCCGACAGTGGTAACCAGTGAGGCATAGCGAGCGGGGAGCTTAGCTCACCTTTGCGGCTTGCATATCGCGCGCTCGCTGGCAGAGGAACACCGATCCGCACCATTGCAATCAACGGGGGCTCCGGTCTTCCCCTCCCCACTCCCAACCCCTCAACGACCGGTGATGGTGATCAGGGGCTTTACTCCTCCCCCCGTGATTCTCCTTTGACCAGAAACATCCGCGCAATCGACGCTTACCCAGACTAGCAAGGGGAAGAGGAACAACGCTGGGAACAAGGGTAGGGGGAGAACGGGTGTTGCCTGCTCCAGCAGGCATCTTACGCGGGCGTAATCGCCCCCATAAGCGGACGGGAATTGCAACCTGCATTTTCTCTCTCTCTCTTTTCACTCCTTTCTTTGGTTTTGTCCTTTTTTCTTTCTTTTCTTTTTTTCTTTTTTTCTTTTTCTTTCTTTTTTCTTTTTTTTCTTTTTTTTCTTTCATCTTTTTAGTTTTTTTTTTTTTTTCCCTCCTTTCTTTCTTTTTTCTTTTCCTTTCTTTCCTTTTTTTCTTTTTTGTTTGTACCTCCTCCTGCCTCCCTTCCTTGTTTCTTCGAAAATTCACTATTCCACTTGGCACACTCCATGTCTTGTGATTGTGACCTTCGAAGCGCAGGACCCGAATAGCAGCATCAACGCCCCAGGGCAGATGATCACACTACCAAGTGGCGGGAGGTCCTGGAAAAGGCAGAAGTCGAAATGTGACGGCTTTTTCCACGTAAGGTACACAAGTCGGGTGATGGAATGTCTATCCATTAGGAGATTGGTGAATGAGGCCCTTGGAAGGGTAATCGGGGATGAGACGGTGACGTGGCTGGAACGCACTAGGATCGGATGGACATATAACAGCAGGATCGCTTCCAGGCTATGCAGACCAGCGGAGGTGTTCTGCGAGTTTGACGTTACACAATGGATGGAGAGCTATGATCCGGACCAATGTCCGTGCAGATCGCGAAGGTACTTGGATATGCGGAGCAACTCATCGATCGAGCTACTCCACAGCGAGGGGTATAAGCACGTCATCACCTTGGACTCGCCAATCACGAATAACCTGCTACTCCAGGGCATCATCAATTCCAGCCTCAACCATATCCCATGCACGGCTCTAGACGTGGATGAGGCGGTGAACGGACTGGGGGACTTCTTGGACAGGCTCCTTGCATTGGTAATGGAGTTGCGCGAGCTCACAGCTTCCACTCAGTCATTCTTACGAAGGATCGTCTTGAAGAAAGGAAGGGAGAAGATGACGAAGTATCGGGAGGCGCACAGACACGTAGCTGCGGAACCATTTGAACATCCGACTGTCAAGCGGGAGATGGAGTTCCTCGTAAGCCGCTTCCTCATTTGTCCAACGGACAAAGCTCCAAGCACTCCGGCTTTCGTATGCAAAAATTTCATACGAAAGTTGGTCTTCCAGAGGCTGTTCGTCCCCGAATTCGCCAGTATCGCCGCACCTGCTGCATCAGTCATCTCACGCATAAGGGGCGGACTTCCGGCTATGCATGCGCTCCCCATCGCACCTGCGGCGCTCTCGTACCTCATGACAGTTTTCAAAGTGCACAAAGGCACGTTCCGCTGGATCACGAACACAGCCAACACTATCATTTCCCCTGCAGTGGAACTTTGTGCTTGTCTTCTTCATTTTCTCCTCCTCTTAGTGCAGACATTCTATCAGGAGAGGAGCTTGGAAGCGGAAGAGCAGCAAGGAGTAAGACCAAACATGTGGTGGGCCATAGCCTCAGTGGGGGAGTTCTGCGAGAATCTGCCAACGGAGGCCTGTTCCGTCTTTACGGGCGACATTACCAAATGCTTTGAGACGATCCCCACGGACAATTCCGAGGACAGTCTCCCCACAACGGTCAGATTCCATGTGCAAAGCGCAATGCGGGTGCGTAGGGAGAGAAGCTCAAGCCATGCCATTCGGATCAAGGTTGGGGCAAATGGCAGTTTCTGGCCAACGTGGACGGATGCCGATCAGCCAGACTAGATGGGTTCAATGCTATTTAGAGAAGAGGACGTCTGCTGGCTCACAGAGTGGTGCATCGACAATAGCGAGTTGCACATGGGGGATTATGTATCTAGACAAGGGCATTCCCATGGGATTGGCGTGCTCCTCAATTTGGTGTGACATTTATTTCTTTAAGTACGAATACCACGCCATGATGAGACTAGTAGACACAGGAAATGCTCATCTGGTCCCATGCTTCGTGAACACCTTTAGATACATTGATGACTTGGGCGCGATCAACAACGCCATCATCAAGGGCTTCTTGCGGAAGGAGGAGGAAAGGGAGGCCAACGACCCCTGATGGATCTATCCGGACGAGTACATAGATATCAGGGAGAACACCGAGTTGACCGAGGATGGGTTGGGGTGCGTGGCCAACTTCCTCAGCATGGCCATCACAATTACCTCCCGCTCACAGGTTCCTACACCACCTCCAAACATGACAAGCACATGAGCCAAGGCTTTGCCACTTGTAGGTTCATGAAGGACAAATCCAACCGGAGCCAAACAGTCACTGCAGATCATCACGACTCAAGTTGCGCAGATCTTGCTGCTCTGTTCATAACCAGAGGATGCAGCAAAGGAGATCAAGAAGGTGGTTGCAGCAATGAGGAGGAATGGCTTCGCTGTGGATGCTTGCTGGAAGGTGGTCAAGAAGACCCTACGGAACACATATCTCTATTAACCCAACAGGGTGTCAGACTGTCAGTGCATACGGTAAGAGATGAGAAGGCCACTCTTTACCGAATTACTGACTAATTGCTGTGTTTGTGTTTGTGTCTGTGACTATGTATGTGCATGTGTGTGTATGGTATCCGGGGGACGACTGGGCCAAGAGGGCCGGTTGTTCTCCGGGCAACCATCCCCTCCGACCCTGTTATCCCCCGGAGGGAACGGGGTGGGACACACACACACACACACACACACACACACACACACACACACACGCATACAGGTGAGAGAGAAAGAAACAGACGGCTGGAAGCCGAACGATTGAACTCGCGGGACTGAGGAGTTTCGCGATCAGACGCTCTCTCTCTCTCTCTCTCTCTCTCTCTCTCTCTCTCTCTCTCTCTCTGTCGGTCTCTCTATCTATCTTTCTTTTTTTCTTTCTGACTTTCTTCCACACTTTATTTCTCCCCCTTCCCCCTCCGTCCTTTTGCCTCGTCATCTTCTTCTTCTTCTTCTTCTCTCTCATCCCTCCTTTCCTTTTCCCCCCCCCATATCCCCCGTCTTTCGGATGACGTCCTTACTTACTATCCATGACAACGATCTCACGGAGTTGAGTTGTTGGTTGTAGTCTGCGGATGTATATATGAGATGTTTTTTCCGATGACTTATTTGGATCTGTGGTGCAGATTTTTGTATACGGATGCATATTTGATTGGACCAATTCGGGGAGCTGGAATGGTTGCATACGTTTGATTGCTCCTCAAAAAAAGAAGCACCCCCACCCCCCTCGCTTCGTTTCGCTGCCTTCGCATATTTGTCTACCTTCGACTGAACGGCCTTGTTCTGCCCTCAGCACAAATGGACACATGATATGGTTTTACCCTGCAGCGTTGATAGATCACCCTCCGCAACTTGTATCTTGGTCACGGTGTGCCGATGCGTCTGGTCGGAGCAGTGCGAGTATGATGTGTCGTACATGTACGTAACTCATGTGATACACAAATGCTACAAAAAAAAGTGGCAATGTATATTTCCATGTTTTAGTGGAAGATTCATTCCGATTTTGCTCATCCTATCGATGGAAGTAGCATGGCTGGAAAGCAGTGTATATTTCCATATTGTTGCTCATCATATTGATGGAAGTAGCCTTTCTCTATCTCTCTGCGTGCATGGCTGGAAAACTCTCTCTCTCTCTCTCTCTCTCTCTCTCTCTCTCTC